GCTGTGGCACGTCGGAACTGGTGAACCTGTGTCCAAAAATAAGTCTCTGTCGGTGAGCAAAAAGTGTTAGATGGTATGAGTAAAACGTTAACAGCTGAATAGCAAGGGAAGGGATGAACTATAATCAGATTAGAGGAGGAAGAGAGATAATTACAAGAAAATAAAAGTAAGATGGTGCTGGAGAGAAACCAAATGACTTTGATACTCCTTCAAAGCATTAAAACCCATTTTCAGCTCTTATTCCGCGATTTTAAATGAATATTTTGAAGTTATTGCCCTCATCTTTGAGCAACCCACCTGACTGCTAACTACTCTGTCAGACGCTGAATAAATCTGGGACAAAAAGTTCTGCTCGCAAAAAAGACCCTGAACTACCTGTTGCCTGCCACTTCAATGCACCACCCTGCTCCCTGGCCAACATCTCTGTCTCCGGCTTGCCGCAGTGTTCCAGTGAAGCCCAACACAAGCTGGAGGAACATCACCTCATTTTCCGCTTGGGGAGGCTACAGCCCTCTGGACTCAATATTGAGTTCAATCATTTTAGGGCCTAAACTCTCCCATGTCCCAGCCCCCCACCTCACACACCAGGCCTAGTTACCACATAGTCTGCCACTACACACCCCCTGTTGTTAGTCACTAACAGTCCCCATTAACAACTATTCACCCTCCCAGTATGATCGTTGGCAACTCCTTTGTCTGACCAACTGTCTTTCTCTCTCTTCGGGCTGTATCCTATCGTTTACTCCCTACCTCACCCACCTCCTTATTTTCTGCATATAAACTGACGTTTTCCCAGCCACCATCAGTTCTGAGGAAGGGTCACCGGACCTGAAACGGTAACTCTTTTCTCCTCCACAGATGCTGCCAGACCAGCTGAGCTTTTCCAGCAACTTTTTTTTGTTCTTGATTTACAGCATCCGCAGTTCTTTTGGTTGGAATAAAGCTGGGAAATTGCTTCAATAACCCCAGTCATTTCTGTTACAGATCGTAAGGAATTCTCATTTGGCTGATGAGACACAATCAACACGATCAACACTTTCTCTGTTCTGCGTGCATGGTGTCAGCGGAGATCTGAAGAGACTTTGTACAACTGGAGATTTCACTGTTTTAAGAAACTGTCGCCAATTTTACTGTTTACATCAGCCAGTGCATCAGAGACCTGCAGAGCTGGCAACTGTGATCGAATCGGGGGGAGCTGGTTACATTGCAACTACATTTAAACTCTCTCCCAACTGAGAAAGGCCTCGAAAATTAATCACAGTTTCAAGGAAACTACAAAACACGTATGGAGTAATGAATTGAATTATTGATAATGTTTAATCCGTGTGTTAGGATTATAGAATGAAGAAACACTGCCGATGTTCAAATCTGAAAGTCTAACAGTGAATGCGAGAGACACCCAGCAGGGCAGAATCTAATCTATCAGCAAGGAATCACTCCGCCCTCAGAGACTGGGGTTAGATTCTTTAGACCAGAATAGACTGAGGAAGGGTCACTGGACCCGAAAGGTTAACACTGACTTTTTTTTTATAGATGCTGCCAGACCTGCTGAGTTTTCCAGCAACTTCTGTTTTTGTTATACACTGAGGGGCGGGGGAGAGGGGAGGGTGGCGAGGACGTGATTGTGATGTATAAATTTGAGGGAAATGGAGTAAACAAGAATGAATCTTTCTGCTTGGTGGCGGAATCAGTATCAGGGGGCAAGGATTAATGGTAAGGGGCAGGCAGTTTAGATAAGATGTGAGACTTTTTTTCACTCAGATGGTGGGAAGCTGAAACTCACTGCCTGGAAATGTGGGAGAGGTGAAAACCGTCATAACATTCCACTACTATTTAGATGTATAAAATAAACACCGAAAGAACTGTGGATGTTGTATATCAGAAACAAAACAGAAATTGTTGACAAAGTTCTGCAGGTCTGGCAGCATCTGTGAAAATAAATCAAAATTAACTTTTCGTGTCGAGTTACCCTTCCTTAGATCTATTCTCTCCACAGATGGTACCAGACGTGCAGAGTTTTTTCAGCAATTTCTGTTAAAATGTGATGCCATTTCGGACATGTCTCTGGGCAAAGTGCTGGAAATGACACTTGAATAGTTGTTTGACCGGCACTGATTCGATGGGCCAAAGGGCCTTTTTCTCTGCTGTGGACTCTGAAACTGGGTGAATGGTTCAGGTCGGTGAGCAAGGGCACGGGGAGGGGGAGGGGGATGGTGAACAAAGGAATGAGCGGGTGAAGGGTGGGAGAATTTCACTGACAAAAGTTTTCATGTTGCGAAATCAAGGGGAGTGGTGATGGAGAAGTAGAGACAAAAGAAGTGTCTGATATAACAAAGTGTGGAGCTGGGTGAACACAGCAGGCCAGGCGGCATCAGAGGAGCAGGAAAATTGATGTTTCACGTCTGGACCCTTCTTCAGAAATGGTGGAGGGGGAGGGGTCTCTGAAACAAATCGGGGGGCAGTGATAGCAGGTAGATAGTGGAGTGGATAGGGTGGGAGAGAAGACAGACAGGTCAAGGAGGCGGGTATGAAGCTAATAGAGGTGAGTGTAGGAAAGAAGTGGGGATGGGGGTTGGTCAGTGAGGAGGGAGGAGCGGATAGGTGGGAGAGAAGACGGACAAGTCAAGAAGGCAGGGTTGAGGGGGGACTGGTCTTGGGATGAGGTCAGGGTTGGGGAGAATTTGAAGCTTGTGAAGTCCACATTGAGACCACTGGGCTGCAGGGTTCCCAAACGGAATATGAGGTGCTGTTCCTCCAACCTTCGGGTGACATCGTTGTGACACTGGAGGAGGACCAGGATGGACATGTCGTCAAGGGAGCGGGAGGGGGAGTTGAAGTGGTTCACAACTGGGAGGTGTTGTTGTTTGTCGCGAACTGAGTGTAGGTGTTCCACGAAGTGGTTGCCGAGCCTCCGCTTGGTCTCCCCGATTTAGAGGAGGCCACATTGGGAACAGCAGATACAATATACCACATTAGCAGATGTGCAGGTGAACATCTGTTTAATGTGGAATGTTTTCTTGGGGCCTGGGATGGGGGTGAGGGTGGAGTGTAGGGGCTGGTGTAGCACTTCCTGCGGTTGCAGGGAAAAGTGCCAGGGGTGGTGGGGCTGGTGGGGAGTGTGGAGCAGACGAGGAAGTCGTGGAGAGAGCCGTCCCTCTGGAAGGCACATAAGGGTGGGGAGGGAAATATATCCTTCGTAGTGGGGTCAGATTGCAGGTGGCGGAGAATGATGCGTTGAATCCGGAGGTTAATGTGGTGATACGTGAGGATTCGGGGAATTCTGTCTTTGTTTTTATTGCGGGCAGGGGTTGTGAGGGCTGAGGTGCGGGAAACGCAAGAGATGCTGTCAAGGGCGTTTTCAACCAATGTTGGGGGGTGGTATGGTAATTGTGGTCCTTGAAAAACAAGGACATCTGAGATGTCTGGGAGTAGAACACCTCCTCTTGGGACCAGATGTGTCAGAGGAATTGGGAACAGGGGATCGCATTCTTGCAGGAAGGTGGGTGAGAGGAGGTGTAGTCTCGGTAGCTCTGGGAGTCGGTGAGCTTGAAATAGATATCAGTTTCCAGGTGGTTACCAGAGATGGAGACAGAGAGGTCCAGGCAGGAGAGACAGGTATCAGAGATGGTCCAGGTGAACTTAAGGTTGGGTTGGAAGGTGTTAGTGAAGTGGATGAACTGTTCGAGTTCCTCATGGGAGCACGAGGCAGTGCCGACACAGTCATCGATGTGACGAAGGAAGAGGTGGGGAATAGGGCCAGTGTAGTTGCGGAAGAGGGACTGTTCCACATTTCCTACAAAGAGGCAGGCTTAGCTTGGGCTACTGCGGCCACCCCCTTCATCTGTAGGAAGTGGGAGGAGTTGAAGGAGAAGTTGTTAAGATTAAGGACGAGTTCGGATAGGTGGATACGGGTGTCGGTGAAAGGGGACTGGTCTGGCCTGCGGGACAGGAAGAAGTGAAGAGATTTTAGGCCATCTGCATGGAGAATGCAAGTATACAAGGATTAGACGTCCATGGTGGAGATGAGATGTTGAGGACCAGGGAATCGGACGTTTTGGAGGAGGAGGAGGGCATGAGTGGTGTCCTGGACGTAGGTGGGGAGTACCTGGACCAGGGGGGAGAAAATAGAGTCGAGATAAGTGGAGATAAGTTCGGTGGGGCAGGAGCAGGGACAATGGCAGGGCAGTCGGGTTTATGGATTTTGGGAAGGAGATAGAAATGGGCGGTGCGGGGTTGGGGTACGATGAGGTTGGAGGCTGTGGGTGGGAGGTCACCTGAAGTGATGAGGTTGTGGATGGTCTGGGAGATGATGTTTTGGTGGTCGGGGGTGGGGTTATGATCAAGGGGATGGTAGGAGGAGGTGGCAGAGAGCTGACACATGGCTTATATGTAAGTTATCCTTATAGGAGAAAAATACATAGAATACTTGCACACACAGCAACAAATGTCCCCAAGAATATCAGAGTCAATGTGCAAGCCTCTTCAAGAAGGGCAAGGTGCCTTGACTGTCTTTGCTCAGTCAGACAGTTTCACGCTTCATTCTCCCCTCCCTTCTAAAGGTTCATAATGCTGAGACTGGGTTTTTGTTTTTTTTTTCATTCCCAGCAGCTGCAGTGATTCGGTCGGTGGGGTTGGTAAATTGACACATGCCCATGAGCAGCTTGTGGACTATTTCAGCTACCCCTCCCCTTTGCTGTTCTCGGTGAGAACTTGAAAGGATTTTCGTTGCCGCAGATCAAGAATTCAAAGCTCATTTCGCTTCCAACGCCACGAGAAAGTTTAGTTTGGAGTTCCAGCACATGGCTCACAGCCTCACCATGGTTGCCCCTGCAAGTGTATATCCTAAAACACGTTAACTTTTATGAAGGTTTGCGCTTATTCTCCCATGACAGGCAGTGAGTTGCCTTTTTCCCACCATTGGCAATCTAAGTGAAACGTTTTGCTGTCCCTGCTTTGACTCCTGTCGCAAACAGCCTTTGCGTTTGATCTCAGTTTTCACCCGTAGTCAGTAGGATTCAAACCTACACAGAAATACCCAGTGGATTTCAAATCCATCGCCTTAACCACTCGGCCATGACGACGAGGAAAAATGCTATGCCGTTTATCTTTTCAGGTCGCTTTCCGTGGCCAGACAAGCTGTGGATGGATGAATTATTGCTGGATTTGTTTGAATCCAATCGCTTCGCAGATTTCTAAAGTGTTAAATTTGGTACATGGTGATTCTGGTTGTTTCATCCCAATAGGTAAATGTTCATTTACAAGCGAAAATATAAATTGCAGGAAAAAAACTCGGCAGATCTGGGAGCATCTGTGGGCAGAGAATTTGAGTCAATGTTTCAGAACTTCTTCAGGACTCTATTTTCTCCTTTCTGTAGTGCAGTTTCTGTTTTTGTTTCAGATTCCAAGCATTCCCAGCTCTTTATGGTAGCTATTAAAGCAGCATCAAAATACCTTTGTGGTCACTCACCAGACAAGATTTACGTTTGGGGAATATTTTCCTGACTGCATTAAAACCCATAACTCTACAGTCAAAAGGGAACTGGTAGAGGTAGAACAGCACTTGTTCCTTCCTCAGTGGCCTCAAACTGCCAACTTCACAATTAACAGTCGAAAGCACCAGCTTATTGCACCAAAGAAAATGGCGAGCTCTTGCAGCAGCTCTTAAAGCGGGCTCTTAGTGAACTCAAACTTCCAACTGCCTCGCTTGGAATGACAATTGTCTTGTATCGGCTGTACTTTTCCAAAATAAAACCTGGGACATTCATTGAGGAGACATGGGAACAGTCTGATCCTACCCTCTGCAGACCCATCCATATCATGGGAATCAGCTCTCCTACAACCGGGCCCGTCTCCCTTCGACCTTTCAGTGTCTTGTCTATTTCTGAGTTTTCTCATTGTCCCGGAGCCGAGATGAGATTTGAATTCCTGATGTACAGGAACGAGAATTCTTTCAATGTCTCAGATCAGTTCATGTCCCGAGAACATCCGAGTCAATGCCCCGGCCTCTTAAAGAATTGGCAGGTGTCTGGAATGTTTGTGCTCAGTCGGAAAGTTCACCGTTCATTCTCCTGTGATTCCAGTTCCCAAAACGTTTCTAAAGATTCACAAAGCTGGAAGCTGGGCTTTCTGTTTTGCTTCCTTAATATTTTCTCCCCACCAACTGACAATAT